GAGTGGTCCTCCTTCCGCCCCTTCTCTCCGGCGTCCGCACTGGGCCGGGCGACGGCGCCGAAGCGGTTTCCTCACGAGCCGGTGCGTACAAGCGGCGGGAGAGGAGGAGCGGCCCGACGGGCGGAGACGCTTGCGGGCTCCGCGCACCTCGTCTCAGCCAATCAGCGCTCCCAGACGGCGGTGACGTTACTCTCCCCGCCTCAAGGAGCCGCCCCTCTCCGAGAAGCCACGCCCAACTGCTACCCGGCCGCCTTCCTCCCGGCGGCTCCCGCGCGCTCCTAAAGGCCCCGGCGTTTCTGGCGGGCGGAGGACGCGGGCGTGAGCGGCGAGGTGAGGCGGCCGCATGAGGTCCACGTGGGGGGAGGAACGGGCATTTCTCCTTCTCCAGCGCCCTGGCCCTCGTCTTCGCAACTCTCTTCTGCTCTGCAGCCCTGGCAGACGGAGGGCGTCCGGGAACGGGATACTAGCTTTGAAGTGAGCGCGCTCACCCAGAGCAGCTCCGCGTGGAACCCTTTCCAACAAAACTCTCATGGGACCTGTGCTGTTGGCTCCCGGACTTGGACTTGGGGAAGCAGGGTCGGAGACAGGAGCACGCGATCTGCGCAACCCGGAGAATGCCACCGCTCCCCGACCCAGAGGTGAAGCGGGGCGGACGCCCTGGCCTAACGGTTGCCTCTGCAACGACCGTTTAGCCTCGGTCTTTTGGAATCGTTTTATTTGCTACTACTGTTTTATTTGCAACTACTGTTCCGACGTCTGGCACTCAGTGTTTGAATTCCTACGCCGTGCACTAACTGGGGGAAGTCACTAAGCTACCACGTTGACAGGCTTTCCGTTTTTGAAAGTTGTCTGATACTTAAGTAGGGTTAGAGACTCATAACACGTCAGTGTCTGGCGCTGTGGCTACTTTGGCAGTATAGTCCAGCGGCATATTTAGCGAGTTAATAAAAGGTGTGTGTGTGTGTATGTGTTTAATTCTTAATGTTTTAAATTAAGAAGCCCTGCTAGGACTATTCTATATATGTAGAAACTTTCTCTTACCAGAAGTGTTGGTACCTCTGTTGACAGAGCATACAAGGCATCCTTTTTTATCTCACAACTCCATGTCCTAAGAAACTAACTGTGAATCAGTAAAACGTTGAATTGAAGCCTGAATGGGTTTCATCGATAAGACGGGGTGACAATTATTTTCAACAAGGAGAATTATTTTCAACACATTTGAGATTGGCAGAATATGGAGGCCATCCCCACCCCCTATACCCACTCCTCACCGTGAAATTTGCTATTTTCTTATATTCTTTGGGTATAATTTAGGAGTGTTACAACAATCAAGAGAACATTTTGTGAGGACTTTTATTAACAGGAGTTCAAGAGTCCTGTTAGATCCTTACCCTCTTCCGCAGTTAACCGCAACTGCCCTGGACTCTGGAGCTGCTGTCTTGTCTCCTGTTCCCACATTTCTTTAGACAATCAATGATACTGCTAATATGCCAGAAGTCCACAGCTCCACAGTGAGTCACCTGACAGCTGGAGATCCTGTATAGTAAGCAAATGCTTTACCTCTGAGTTGATTTTGACAGATGACCCAGGCAAACAGGTCATTACATTTTTCTTCACTACAAGAAGCTGTTTTGTAGAAACCCTTCACAATACTTGATCTATAAATTTTACATTAGAATTCAGATTTGTAAGCAGTAATAACTACTTTGGTCCTAACATACGCCAACATTAGAAAATGCAATGATAAAAGATCCTATACTATGATTTCATGATTTTAATGGTCATCCATTGTGGACAGTTTGCTGTCTATCCTCTGATACAATAAGATGCAACACATTCAGTTGGAGCGATGTGCTACTCCAGTGCTTTTCAGGGAGGAGCCGAGATGAAAATCGCAGGGTGAGGTGGGGGTGTGTTTAGTTGGGAAAACCCTTGGAAGATGGTCCTCCCACCCAGCCAGCCTCTTGAGAATACCTGTCTAAACCATGTGGATTCTGACTCATAC